GGAAGTTATTTCATAATTATACTCACAATCTATGGACAGTGGTCATCAAGTAGATGTCATCTATATAGATTATAGTAAGTTTAAACTTTTGATAAAATTAATCATAATATCCTTATGACTAAACTCGCTAAGATTGGCGTCAGGGGTGACCTTCTTAGGTGGTTTTCTTCATACATAAGCAACAGGTCTCAAGCAGTGGCAGTAAATAATTATATGTCCAGTTGGGTTACTATACCTAGCGGTGTTCCTCAAGGTTCATTTTTAGGGCCACTCCTTTTCAATATATTTGTTAATGACATTAGTTATTGCTTCCGCTTTTCCAACTTACTCAGCTTTGCTGATGATATGAAAATTTATACCAAAATCACTTCTCTTGATGATGCTATTGCTCTGCAATCTGATCTATCGCGGCTGGATGACTACTGTCTGAACAATAAATTAGATCTTAACCCCTCCAAATGTTTTTTAATGATTTTTCATGCAAGGTCAATAATATTTTTGTTTCTTATAGTTTGAAAAACCTGTGTAGAACGAAAGACAGTCATGAGGGATCTGGGTGTCGTCCATGACTCAAAGCTGATCTTTGATGCTCATATTGATGATGTTATCTCTAAGGCTACTAAGTTTCTTGGATTCATAATGCGTAACTCAGTCTATTTCTAAAGGCCAAGAACTTTACGAGTATTATATTGTGCATATGTTCGTAGTAAGTTGGAATATGCTTCTCAATTTTGGAGTCCGAGATATCAAGTCTATATAGACAGAATTGAACGGGTCCAAAATACATTTCTTAAATTTTTATGCTATAAAATAAGTAAGTCTTATAATTTATGCGACTACCCACGTCTCTGTAAGGATCTGAATCTATTACCTCTAAGTATTCGCCAAAAAATCTTTGATATTGCGTATATTCTAAACATTATAAATGGTAATGTTGACTGATTTGACTTATTGGGTGATATTTCGTTCATTGTACCTACTCGTTCTATGGGACACTATCACCCTATTGCAGTTCCCTTAGCTATAGCTTAGCTATAGACAAAATAGTTTTCTATGTAGAGCTAGCAAGACCTTGGATAGTGTGCTGAGCAATCATGACCTGGAAGTTGATATATTCAATTGTAATGTTGATGCGCTAAAGCGTAAACTCACGGACATTCTATTTACGTAACTTTATTAAATTATTTGAGAAAACCACTATTGGGTTGTTATATTTATGTAAGTGCATGATGTTAAGAAATACTGTTTATTGTTCGTTTGTTTAATGCTCGTGTAAGATTTGTTTGAAGCTATAGGTAAAACTGTAATTGGCTTTATGTTGATATTCCTGTTTTGTATTAAATGTAAGAAGCTGTTGGTTTTCCATAAATAAATAAATACTCTTATTTATATCACCATTAATTTATATTCTATATATAATAATAAGTGATTGTTTTATAATGTTAAATACCTAATCGAATGTTATAACGTACATAGTGTTGTTGAACTAAATAAATAAATGAATATTATCCTTGCTTCATTTACATTTGTTTACTTGTGTTGCTTTAGATTGAGTTAGTGAAAATATAAAAGCGAACATTCTTTGTAACGACGTAACAACGACGACGCCGATTTCTTAAAAAAATAGAAAAAGTAAAACATAAATTATATAAATTTTATTTTATTTTTGTAACGGGGGAGTATAAGAATTATTATTGTTAGGTACCATGTAAATGTCTCTGCGATTACTCATTATATTCGATGTTGATCCAGCATCGATTTGATTGATTCATCTCCGCCGTACGCTCTTCTTATGCGGTCGTGATCAGCGTGGCTAAGGTCTGGACCGCGATATTATAGATAGTACAGAAGATTGGCACGAAACGCTTTGCTTTATCCTTTCTATTACATACGGCAAAGGAATGGAATAGATCATCGGCATCTGCTTTTCCAAAGTACGAGATTGAGGGCCATTAAAGGATGGAGTAAATTTGCATTTTTTTTAGACCAACGCGTACTATGGTTGGTCACTTCGTTTATTTTAAATAACAGTAGAGCCTCCTTGTGAAATAGTTCGTTTAGGAATGTACTGGCATCTTATTTATTTCTGCCGCCAAGCAGTAGTAGGCGTTCTGCTGCGTTCCGGTTTTGAAGGGTTATTTATTTGGCGTTATCAACTTATGTGTCCAGGTGACAAGCGCAGTGGCCGCGCCACTCAGATCTTTTTGATTTAAAATTCTGAGTAGCACAGCAACTGCAGGCGTGTCGCTTTCTATTTTTGATATAATGTATACAATATTATATTTCGCACATTTGTAATAAGATCGCATTTGAAAAATTACAACTTTTCATGAGATATTCTGCAAACGATATCAATCAATAACTTATTTATGCTTTAATAAAACATTTAGCAAATTTCACTTATGCCTATTTTGTTTCTTGTACTGTGTATTATTATGACCTTTGAGTGATAAGACGCATGATCACATACGACCTATTATACCAATAGTACCATTTACAGATATCTTTGAGAGATAAGTTTAAGGAAATCAACATTCTTACGCTAGCCTCACAGTACATTTATGAAAATGTAATTTATGTTAAAAGGAATAGTAATTTCTTTATGAAAAATAGTGACAGACATAACATTAATACGAGGAATAGAAATAAACTAGCTGTTCTTGATAGTCGTCTTCACAAAGTCAAAAAATCATTTAAGGGGCAATGTATACGCTTCTATAACAAGATGTCGGTTGATATACAAAATTTGCCTTTCACGAGGTTTAAAACTATAATAGTGAAACAACTTCTGCGTACTTGGATGACAAAAATCCGGTAGTAACCCGTTTAGCTCATGGAGGTAGTCTCGATCTCTGATGTTTGAAATAAAAAAAATATTGTAAATGTTATTTACAAAGAGCAACCCCTAGAGTTTCTTGCTCATTCTTCTCAGGGGAATCTGCCTTATGAATGAGCGGCAGAGTTTAACCATTGTGACGATTTCAAGTGTAATAATGCTTACCTATGAAATAAAGATTATTTTGAATTTGAATTTCAATTTGAGATAGGCAATTATGAAATTTAAACACAAAAGCTTGTTTCATGAGTCGATGATTATGCGTTCAAATCTGACGAATATAGTATAATATGGAATAAAAAATGTAATAAGCCTGTGCTCAGCAGCGAACTGTCTTGCTCAGTTACAAATTAGGTTGGTTGTTTATTCAGTTCCATTTGATGTAACGCATTCAAATTGTGAAGCGCAATTATTAGATCTGTTTGAGTTCACGTCTCCACTGTCATTAGAGATGGGATTAGGAATGCCGAGACATGTTCGAGCTCGTAATTACATGTGCAAACACGTCGCACCTCCCAGGTGGAGGTTTCTCTTGGTGTAAGTAGGAGGGGTAAAATGAAACACGTAAAAGGAACAAAGGAGAAAAGGATTACGAGTATTTCTTTTCAATTCTTTTGTTTACTTGTCTTTTTTATACATCCATTAAAAAAACCTTGGGATTTAAATGAAAAAGGTATTGTTTAGGGTGATCGATCAATAACTTGATGTAACACGTTCTGATTGGTTCTGTTGGTGCTTGTCACATGTTCTGAGCCTGACAAACACCAACCAGTTTAAGTTTAATCAATTTAATCACTTTCACTTAGTTAAGTTCGATATTTTTCTGTGTATACTTACGTACATAGATCTCCACAAGGCTCTCTATGACAAATTAAACAATATCGTTTATCTGTCATTCTCGTTAGATAACGCTTAGGCGATTTTTTTCTCCAATTATTATTTTTGAAATATCTCTTCGAAACTCTCTCTCTCTTCTCGCTTCTCATTCATCATTATCATCGTTAAACCATTACACATGTAGCCATTATCACGATGTTTTTTGACGGCCTCCGCGGTCGAATGGCTTGCACACCGGTTTTCATGGTGTCATTTCTGAGGTCCCGGGTTCGATCCCCGCCCGGGTCAGTGTAGAAAAGTAACTTTTCTATATTGTCTCGGGTCTGCGTGTTCCATAACACAAGTGGTTTAGTTAATTAGTAAGTAATTAATAATTACTTTGGGATCAGAGCAACGTGTATGATCTTGGTTAATATTTACATATATTATTTTTCCTTCAATGTATTGCTACAAAATTTGATCTCTGAGTGTGTAATTAAACGCATATTATTATTATTTGTTTACAGTCACTTGATATTCATAAAATAAGAAAAGTAAATTTTGGAAATAAATTTAGAATAGATTATAGTACGCGAAAGCACATATAAAATGCAAAGAAACTTTGTTCTAAAAGCACCATCTGGAGATCGGAGTACTTTAATTTGAATTGTTTCTTTATTATTTTTGCGAATCGACAACATACAGTCTTAGCTTAATCCTTTCCGAGTTTTGCCGGTTTTTTAATAAGAGCCGCAGCGGGTTGGGGGTGTGTCTGCCACAAGCAGCAGCGAAACAACGTGGATGTGACGCGGCAAAAACAGTATATCTGAGAAGTATTCTCAGTTTTAATGGCACACACAAATTCCACCTTCTCTTGGTATTTTTCAACGATTCCACACACGTAGTTGTTTGCTGGCCTGGCTTATTACGTGAATCATGTGGGTTAGCAACAATACAAATGAACACGTCGAATTCACGTGGCTGAATCTTTTTCATTTACATACACGTTGAAATCTCTTAACACAGCATTCTTACTTAATTATTAAAGGAAATAAATTTCACTTTTTTAAATACGCCATATTTGATTTGTCTATATTATTATAAACCGTTGGAACGGCTAATGTGTGGAAAATCGAAACGACTTTTTTCCCGTTGCAGCACGATTTAAATACGTGAGTTGTTGGTGTTCATGACAGGAATGTCCTGTACGAGGCGTTGAGCTAATTAAAAATTAACTTGTTTAAACCGCATCCAATGTCTTTCACGTATAACTTGAGTGCCCCTGCGGCCGCTGTGGGAGGAGGTGTGTGGCGGGCGGGGTGGCGTAGCGGCGGGCCGGGGGGCAGACGGCCGCCTACGCGCGCCGCGACTGACGTGTCCCGTGATCGCACTCTGCCCGGCGGGGCCGCGGGCCCGCGCCGCATCCGCCATCGCGATCCGCGATCCGCTCACAGCCCGGCGATATATACGAGTACGTACGATCCGTGACTGTCATCTGTTTTTAAAGTTTTTGTTCAGGTCATCAATGTAGAAATGTGTTTCAGTAAATTCTGAACCGAACAAGATTATTGTGGTTGGTTTATGCTCAGTTTAACCCCTTGGTTGGATTTGGACATTTTGAAGTGACTTTTAGGTAGTGTTGCTAAACTTGTTGTCTGTTTTAATTACGTAGTTAAATAATTATTCGTTACTAAGTAAATACTGGGTTTATTTGAATGCTAAGATTTTATAAGAGTTATTAAGAGTATTATCAGTGAACGGTTTTTGAATCAGAGTTGAATTTAATGTTAAATAATTATCTTTACCGTTTTTTAAATAAATCTTTTGTGACAGTTAAAAAGTTTAAGGGATAAAAATAAATTGAAGAACAGGAGAAAAGAAATACCAACATAAAGCTTTACAAACAAATACAGTCAGTCAGATTTCGTCAAAAATTTCTATAATAAAATGATAATGAATTGATCCTTAACTAAAGTACTTGTATATTTATTTTAATATTTGAAAATAATTTGCATTTCAAACGAAAACTGCTTGGATCGTACTCAATCGTGACATTATACGAACATAACGTTTTCTATTCGAAAACTTCACAGAGTTTCTACATTAAATTTTTTACTCATTTATAATTTGGAGAAGCGGACAGTGACTTTATGGGTAAGTGTTTTTTACTTATTATTATACATTACTTAAGAATCATTTTATTTTTAATGTAACACATTTATTACATTTTTTATAAAAAATTACATTTATTGAATATCTAATAGTTATTACACTAATTAAATGCATGCATGCATGCATGCAAAATGGAGATCACATCTAATTGCAAGATTAATAAAATAAAACTGAACGTAAAAAAAACAACCAAAAATAATAATACAAAAGAACAAAGTTCTTGGGAGGGAATCAAACTAAATGTATAATGGAAACAAAACTATTTTTCCGGATTTAAATCGCGTATATTTGATTGTTCAAACAAACCAGCGTTTCGGGCCCTTTACAGGTCCCATAGTCACGGTTGACTGAGAAAACTAACTTTGCCATAACACAAGCTTTAGCTACTTACTTTGGGATCAGAGCGAGGTATTTGGTGTTTCCTAATATTTATGTTTATTTATTTAATCTGTAACAATCGCGAAAACCTATGTGCTAAGCCATGCGCCGGTCCATAACAGTCGTAGTGCCGCTCAGAGCTTTAAATCGCAAATATTTGAGGGGGATAATTTCACCAGAACCTTTACCTCAAAACCGAAAAACGGTAATGGTCACATTAATGCTTGACGCTAGAAATAGGTGAAGTGGCAGTGCTCCTCTGGACGAACGCTTTCAGAAGAAATTCCACTAAATAAAACAAAACCACAATTAGACGTAACAATATAAAGGACATCGTTCGAAATGAAATTGGTTTGATAAAACAATTGTATAAATAATAATAAAACAATATTCCGATTAAATAAAGATTGACTGAAAAAGCACTGGTTCGAATCTGATAATTAATAGAAGTGGCTCCATTGTTTGGAATAAAATTTGAATATTATCAATCGCTTCGCGGGTTTTATAATAGCATTTAAACAAGCAGAAACATAATAAAGAAGGTAGCCCATTGGGAGAACGGTTTGACGGTTCGAACCCCTATGACGGCATTTAATTTCTAAGTTACGTAAATTAATGGATGTTTAAAGAAATATAAGGTGATGAAACTCGCTCGTCTAAGAAGGTTCACAATCCTTGCAATATCTATGAGCCTGAGCTTTCCCTTAGAGCAGTCCGGTGCGCAGCAGATATATAATGAGTTGATGATGAATGCCATGTAAATTTAAAATTAATAAAATAAAAAGATTAGCTTAAAAATTAACGGCGCAACGAAAGCTTTTGATTTATTAAAGCAATTAATTGGAGAAACTAAATGACAGTTTCAGATTATCTGCTTAAATGTACGAAAACTGAATTCAATTGAAATAATTAAACAATCCGTAGCATTTTGTGGCGTAGCCTTAGCTACGCCTCGAAATGCTACTCTACGGGTAGTGCTACGTGAATATCTTCAAATTATGCCCTTCGGCTACGGATTTGCATTGTACATTTACACATTCCGCTACTAACGAGCAGTAACGCTGAATTTACTGGTCATTATTATCTTCGTTATCAACATTAGCAACAAATTATACGCTCTACTGCTGGCCCTCCTTTGAGGGGCTTAGGCCGTGTGTCGGCCCACCGCGGATTGGGGACTTCACACGCATTCCAAAGATTCTTCTGAACATTAGTTCTCATCACAATGTTTTTACGACCCTTAACGGGAGATATTGCTATTAAATATCCATAAATGTACTTCACATAGAAATGTAAAGTAGTAGGTACATGCCACCAAAGGGATTCGAATCGTTGTCGATATCTCAACTGAGAAGCTACCGTTTTCCGTAATCTTTATATTTCATATATTACGAGGTACGACTTTTTACAGACATTTTATATAGAAGGTAGATTTACACAATCTCCGACTACCCTGCAGAAAGCCAAGGATGACGCAATTATATATTTATATACAAAACGTAGCTTAACGTAAAATAATCTACTTTGAGGAATGTCCTCATCCAACATGCCTTTATAATTGGGCGTGGTTTATTTTAGGCATTATGCTTTAGGCATTTATATTAATATTACAGATGTTATTATACAAAAAAACAAATTTCACAAACCCTACAGGGGCACTTGTGGCCCCAGCAAGAATGCGAAGGTTCGAGGAGGGTGCGTGGGGTAGATATAAGCTTCATTGTGTTAAAATGATGAGCTTGTGTAATCGTGCAATAATTATATCTTCTCATAAAACCGTTTAGTCATATCGGACTTTAAGTTCTTTGTTAACGTTTAAAATTTACCATTTATGAGTTTAAAATTAACGTGAAATAAAAACTATTATATTGTTTCTGCGTGATTGCTTGACAAAAATCCATTACAGTGGTACGTTCAGCTCTTTCAGCTTATTTCTATCTGTGACATTTTGAAATTATTATTGTAAACGATGAATAGGAACAAATACAAAAGGCAGCTGGGAAGTTCGCGGTGTAACGACTCGTTATCTCATTTTTGGAATAATAATATAATAATAATATTGGTCTCCCCCAACAACTAATAGGTATTATTACCATGTCAACCAAATATTATCGTAATTTGGAGCATTTAGCCGTGTACAGGCATTATTAAGAAAGAAAATACACTAAAAGGAATTTTTAAATGGATATTCTGTGCTTTCGTGTACAATGATGAGAAAAACGGTTTTGCTTGTTTCAATAAAGATTGCAAATGGCGCCAAGGTCAATCTTTAGTGATCGAATCAATTGAGAAATCAGTGGAAAATAGTGATAAAGCTATAGATTGGGAAACAATGACAATTTTGTAGAGAGAAATTTTACACAAAAAATTGCATATGAAAAAACAAAGTTCTGTCCGTTGGGTACACGAATACTTACATTGTTCTACAGCAGCGACAACCCATGAGTCTTAAAAAAGTATCTTTAAATTGACCGAGTACTATTTGGATGACATCTGTAAGCGAATATTTATGACGATGAAACATGTCATTCGTCAGTATGATATGAAAAGGGCCACCAAAGACATTCAAAGAGGGAAAACGCGGCGTGTGGGCGGCGAGGGATTGTTATTAATTATATTACCTGTTGAAAGGGATCAACTACGAACGATTAACGTATGGAGACACGTGGCAAAGAAGCGAAGAAGTATTATTGCAAGAGTACGCGTCAGTTAATACCGCTTGGTGTGCAAGACGGGCCTTAAAAGACATAGAATTCTCAAAAATTCATCACCGCCCCTGTAGATCAGACCTGGTTTCCAGTGACTATTTTTCAATTTTTAAAAGCTGAAAACGAAGTTACGGGGTTGATAATTTTTCGATGACAATGAGTTGAGGGCCGTTGTAGAAAGCCCTTTTTTGAAAAAAAAAAGTGAAGAATATTTTCTAAACGGTTTATAAGCTTTTAATACACGGCGTGAAAAATGTATCTCATTTGAGGAAGACTAAATTAAAAAATATACTTACAACCTCACTATTCCTAAATTAAGTGATTTATTCTACGAACTTAACTGCGCATCTGTATTTACATGGAACAATAGAGGGTCTGTTACTCTCTCCGCTCAAATCTGCGGTACGATTGAGTGCGGTACAATTTGACAATTCCAGTAAAATTGCCTCCATATGAAATTAAGAATTTTTGGGGTTTAACAATTTAAATCATCAATTTCAAATGATATCTATGTATATTAAAATCGATATAAAACTAACTGCGCGTAAATAAAGATATCTTTTACCCCATGTGCATTGCATATTAAATCTGCACAAAAGAATATTTTTAACCATATTTACTGGCGGCGCTGTCCGCCATTACGGGTACGCAAACGCCTTAATTAAACTGTACAGTAACATGTGTTCACAGCATATACGGTCCTCTTATTCGTTCTTGACGACGTTTTGACCGGTATTAAAATAACATCTCAACTGTAGGGTCGTTATTAAGATCTTACTTAAGCCAAGTGTCTTTTTTGTTATCGAGTTCTTCGACTTTCGCGATTGCTATTATTGGACATGGAATATTTTTACTGATCGGAATTGTGTGTTTTTTTCGAACTCAACAAGTCCTATGATCACGGATGACTGACGCAGAAAAGTCTTCAACCAGTTTTATTGTAAATGAAAACAATGACGTTTGATGTTGAGGATGGTGACACCTCTATATTATATGCCTATTCCTGTGTTCAGATGATTCAGGCATAAACCTCTACGCAGTCTCAATCAAAGGAAACACTTTACTTTAGAAGCAGTAGAGCTCCTTGTGAAACAGTTTATCCAGGGAAGTACTGCCACTTACCTATTTCTGCCACCAAGCAGTAATGTGAGCATTACTCCGCTCCGGTTTAGAAGGCTAAGGCTTTATATCAACTTATGTCTCAGTGTGACGGGCGCAGTGGCAGTGCCCCTCGGATCTTTGCGATTTAAAGCCCTGTTATGGACAGTCGTGTCGATTACTACAAGGCCCACGACTTGTTAATTTTGTTGGTATCATAAAAAAAGTCAATTAATCATACAACATTAGGTAGGTGACAGAAAGCATCGATTAGAACAAATAGACTATGATTTCTACAAATCTATAAACAAGAACGTGCGGTATTTGCAGCTACGTAGTCGGACCATACAACACTTGCCGTCGTCATACAGTTGGTACGAAAATACGAGGAAAACTACTTTACTGCTAAATTTAATGTAAAAAAATAATGGTAAAATGTACAGTAAGCAATGTAATAAAAGCTATTCGAAATGACTGCCTCAATTTTCGGCACATGTTTTCAACGTGCGCAGCCAGTCTTCAACCGCAGTGCGCACTACACCAATGTTTATATCACCTGCTGCTTTGAGCGACTCCAAATTGTATAGGATTCAGCGCACGCCCTTTCTTCTAAACACTGCCATATTTTGCAATCCAACGTATTCAGATACGAACTAAAGGACATTCGTCGTGACAGATGAAGTCCATTTCGTGGTTGCCTAGCCATTTTTGTGTGCTCTTGGCTTTGGCCTGGCTTTTGACACTTTTTTCTCATTAAGTATCTCTGTGAGGCCGAAATATGATACGCAGGTACGTGTA